CAAGCAGCTGGAGTCAGAAACTCTGCATGACTGCCCTGACTCCCCATCCCAAACCTCCAGAACCATAAGAAAGACCTTGGGACACTCACTCTGTGGGAGGCAGCCCTGTGGAGTACATACCGGCCAATGGGAGAGCAGCAGGTCAGAGACAGACCTTGTCTTCCTTACTTCCACTGATGTTCCTGCCACGCCAAGTCTGCCGCCTCTAACAGCCTGTGCTTTCCCACAGTCACCCCTTCCCACTGCCCGGTAAGAGCGAGGTGCACGAGCAGCTCCACACAGCTCCACGTACCGGGGTCTCAGAGCTGGTTATTTAACGGGCATCGTCAGGGGGCAGTGTGGTACCTGAACTGCTTCTCAGCCTCGGTTCTCCTGATACTCAGGGCTGCTTAATCCTTGCCGGTCGGGGCTACCCCATCATTCCTGGGTGTTACACCAACAACACTGGTCTCATCCACCCCCCAGACAGCACCCCTGGTTCCTGCCCCTGAGACGACAGCAGAACTCCCGACACCTGTCCAGGCTGTGATAAACAAAGATGTGCCCACGCATGGCCAATCATCCCCTGAGGGAAAAATGGCCCCCAGATAGGAACCACAGACCTTACGGATAAGAGCTAGCCTCTGGAATCAGACCCCAAAGGCTCACATCTCATGACTCTCCAGCAGCTCAGCCGTGAGGAAGGTGCGGTGCCACCTGAGCCAGTGTTGCTGCCCTTGGGAAGCCTGAGTGGCACGTGCAGCTCCCAGAGCCATGCAGGAACTATGTGATCTCTGTTAGGAAAGCTCTCAGGATGGGGTCTGGCACGGAGTCTGGACCATGCGGCTGTTTGCACTCTGTGTCCCAGGTGGAACATGGAGATGCTGATGACCCTGAGTGATGCTCAAGCCACTCATGCAATGAACACATGACCTTACCAACAGGAGATGCAAGGGGTGGCCTAGGCCCTCAGCAGGCCCTGCCTCCTACGGCATCTTTGTCTGCCTGTGCACTTGGGCCGCTTACAGTCTAAATGTGACTTACGATGTGAATTTAAGAGCACGCAGCATCAATCTGCCTCAAAAAAGGCTGAAGGCTAGAAATGGCAGCCTCACTTTCAGAAGGGTGAGGACTAGAGTCCAGCCATGCATGCAGCATGAGACCCAGCCCAGGAAAAGCTCTGGACATCGAAGTCTCCACTGAGCTTCCACCATGGATAATTCTCTGTGACGATAGTCATGTGTCACTGCCAGGAGACAGCGCTGCCCATGCCTCCACAGGGGGAGGACGCAGGAGCACCATGCCTGGTGGGTTCCCTGGGCCCCTCCCATGGCCAATGCTTACCTGCATCCTTTCCACGTAGCAACCTCTAATCATGAGTACGACAGCTTCCGTGAGTCTAAGCAAATTGTCCAATCTCGGGTGCTCTGGAGGCCCTAAACTTGCCCTCAGTGCTGGCAGGGAAGAAGGCCTTGTGTGAAAGGCACAGCGGCTCACTCCTGCATCACCTGACACGTGTTTCTGACATAACTGTCTTCAAGTGGGACTCATTCTATTCTAAAGGGCATTGAAAGCTGCCCGCCTCCCTAAGCACTGGGAACCTACTCTAAGATTTCTCAATGGCCAATGCTCCTTGCCCATGAGGGGCCAGAGAACAGATGTTTTGTTAATATGGCACCAAAATACATTTCAAATCTCACTCCCACTGAAGGGGGCAGGGTAGCAAGGGTGTTGAGCCCAATTTCAACCCTCAGTGGGGACCATGGATGAAAGTGTCCCTTTTCTTTTTTTCTTTTTTAAAGTTTATCTCTTTCTCCCATGAATGGAGAAAATGAGAGAGACAGAGAGCACTCCCAACAGCGTCTTGATGAGGTGTTCTATGCCCCGCTCAAACCCGTCCCAGATAACAGGCACTCTTGTACCCAGTGTACTCAGAGGGGAGCACAGAGGAGAAGGGATTAGAGGATGGCCATCCCCCAGGGGTGGATGATTTCTCACTTTCCCTCTCTGTCTCTGTCTCTCTCTGGTGAGCACATATACCCTATAGCAAAAAAACCCACCTGATCCAATCAGAATATGCTAGAATTAAAAAATAAAGAATGATAACTGCTGGCAAGGCTGAGGTGAAGAAAGAACTCTTGCACTGTTGGTGGGAATGTAAATTAGTAAACCCAGTGTGGAGAACAATATGGACAGTCCTCAAAGACCTACAAATAGAACTATCATGAGATCCAGCAATTCCACTCCTGGGTGCCTACCCAAAGGATAGGAATGCACTTGGTCAGAAAAACACTTGCACATCCATGTTTATTGTGGCATTATTCACAGTTGCTAAGACATATAACCCACCCAAATGTCGATGAGCAGGAGAATGGATTGAAAATGTGTGGCACGTATACACTACAGAATACTACTCAGTGAGACCCTGGCATTTGACGGAAAGTGGACAGATGTGGAAGATTCAATGCTAAGTGAAACAAGCCAGGCTGTGAAAGGCACAGCGTGTCCCCACAGTACATACCGAATGTGTACACTTTGTGCCATAAATGGAGAGACTGGGAGGTATAAAAGCGTGGAGGGCAACTGTGGGAACTAGAGACAGTGTGGGAGGAGGGTGGGAAATGACGGAGGGCGAGAAGAAGGAAATCAAGAGGAAAAAGAAAAGCAAAATATTTAAAGGACACAAAATTAGAAAATTGTCTGTTGATGATGTGTATGGTAATAACTTTGAGTGGACTAATACACAGTGTTTTCATGCTGGGAAAATTCATTTTTTATGCTGTAATGATATACAGTGATTGAATATTAAAAAATTAAACTAGTAAAATAAAAGACAAACTGAGGGATGAGCTGATGGCATAATGGTTGTTACTGGACTCCCATGTAGTCGACCATGATTCAAGTCCTGGACCTGGTGGCTTAAAACTCATGCTGGGTGCTTATGTGTGTGTGCTCAAAATCTCAAGAGGAGAATGCAAGAGAATGAATTGTGGCATGGCCATTCGCCCAGAGGCTGATTTCTTGCTTTCCATCTCTCTGTCTTCCAGGTGAGTGCACGCATTCTATAGCAAAGATCTGGAAACAAAAAAATGCAATTCGCGTGGAAACGTAAGCTAAGGAAATGCTGAACTAGCCCATGCTCCTAGCCATTCTCCAGTTTGTTCCCTGTGCACAGTGTGAAGTGAAGCAGGCACTGGGACCCTGTGGCCATCTCAGGCGGTCAGGTAAGACAGGAGCCCAGGATGAAAGGGTGGGCTGGCGGAGGGAAGTAGCAGCTCGAATAAGGGGCTTGACCCAACCCTCCAAGTGCTGGAGTGGGAGAGGGAAGATGAAAAGATGAAGCTCTTCTCCAGTTCTCTTGGCCTCTATGACAGCATTGTTTAGAGGAGACTAACTTGTGTTCATGCAGCCCAGCCCTTTCCCTTTGCAGAAGAATCTGAGGCCCCAAGAGGATAACAGCAGTGCTCACATGACTATGATGATAGAACCCACTAGAAGCCTCACCTTTGGGCTCAGCCAGGGCTCTTCTACTAAGGCACAGCAACATGGTTCTGTCCCTGTCACATCCACTCCCAGCTTGACCCATGCTCCTCCCTCGGCCAGTGGGCAACTCTCCCTCCCCACTTCTCTTCTCCCCACATGGCTTCTCCTCTGCCTACCTTTGGGTCCCATTTCTCTTACCACAGCTCTTGACAGCCCACCAATGCTGAGACAGCCCTCTTCGGGGATACATTCACCCTCTCCTGGATGGCCACAAAGGTTTGGCTGCAGCAACAAGCTCTAAGTTAATAGTCCAAATAGCCATTTCTGCAGCCTAGACCTGCCCAGTCAACAAGCCATCTAATCAGGACGTCAGATGGACACGGGGAGGAACCTCACAGGGCAGCAACACTGGAGAAAACCCACTCGTCAGACCAAAGGCTCCCAAGGAAAGGACACCACGCAGACCTGGGCATTTTGTAAGCCGAGAGCCTCAGTGGGTACAAAAGGAAGAAAGGCAGGTGGGAGTCCCAGGAGATAGGGAAAGCCATTCCCGGGATGAGATGTGATGTTGACAGAAGAGCGAGGTTCACGGAAGAAGTCGGGCAGTTGGAGGACGTGACTGAGGAAGAAGGCAAGGGCTGAAGCCAGGACAGAGTAGAGACAGCGCACGGGATTCTGGGATAGAGGAGACCACCGTGCACTCAGGAAACAAGCTCGTCTACACAAATAGCACCAGAGCCCTGCTCAGCAGCCTGGCTGCCCACAGGACTGGTCAATGAAAATGGGCACCCAGTGGCTTCAGCCATGGGGCACCACTTCCACAGCTACTTCAGAACACCGTCCTTAGGACCAGCAGTTAGCGTAATGGCTATGTTGCTGGACTCCCACGTAGTCGACCATGGTTCGTGTCCTGGACCCAGTGGCTTAAAACTCATGCCGGGCCTGTGTGCATGAGTGCCCAAGATACCAAGAGGAGAACGAGGAGAAGGGATTGTGGTGTGGCCATCCCCCTGGGGGGTGATTTCTCGCTTTCTGTCTCTATGTCTCTCTCTGTCTGTCTGGTGAGCGCACGTGCACTATAGCAAAAACCTCTCAAAAAAAAAAAAAAAAGACAGAACACTGTCCTCTGAGCCTGGCTCTTCTCACTTCTTCTTAGACGAGATAAATACAACGTGATGATCTGCTGTACAAGACGACAGTTAATAATGATGAATACTTCAAAACTGCTCAAAAAGTAGACTTCACACATTCTCACCAAACAAAGGAAGGTAAGTAGTGGCGTGCTGTATGTGTTAAGCAGCTTGACTTAGTCCTTCGACAGCATACACACATGGCTCGAAACGTCACACTGGACCGCATTTCTGCAATTATCTTTTTTCCATTACAAATGAATGAATTTTAAAAACGTATACTTCTTTTTTAAAAAAGACTATGGTCTCAGTTGCAGATGCCCGCTCTCCGTGTTAGGGCCTAGTTTGCAGAACTAATACGTCACGTGAGGCGTGTAAAGGCAATACCCCAAGTATCCTAACACCTACCTGGTCCCAGGGAGAAACGGTGCCTCCGAAGCACATGAACAGGTATCCCATGGCGACGAGGCACATCCATATCACCAGAGAGAAGAGTCGGAGCAGCTTCTTAAACACAGACTCGATGCAGACGAGGATGAATATTGCGAAGAAAATTGCCAGGGCAGTCGGAACAGTGATTAAAAATGCCACATGGTCTTCCACTTCCTGAGGAAAGAAGAAAATAGTGAACAATATGGAAACACCACAGTCCCAATGATTTATGGAGCTAAACTGTTATCAATGTTAATCCATGTCGAAATATATTGGGTTTTGAAAATTGTTTGAAAAGTAGAACAGCATGAACTTTTAAAAATTTAAGTTTCATCTTAATACCCATATATTTCCAAGAGAGTCCACTATTGGATGTCAGCTATGCCATCAAATTTATGTTTTCTCTAATAAATGGAATAAATTTTACTGATCCATGAATGCAACAGAAGCAGAGGCAAGAACATACTCTTGCCAACAGAAAATAAGACAACTCACACCCTGCCTGAATCAGAGGACCCTACCTACCCTGGCATCGACAATTAAGTCTTCAAATGGATTTGAAATCTTTTGTTAAAAAAAAAAAGTGATCTCAGTTTCCAAAGTGAGGAGCTTTTATTTGAGTGCATGGCAATTAACATTCTAAGGGGATCATAGGTTAATAGGAAAAGGTCCAGAAAAGCTAAATATAATAGGTGAGGATGCGCGAAGTGCTGAGAAGTGCCGCCATATTTGCTGTTTGACTTCCTCCACCTCCCTTGGGCTCCAATAGCAAAAAGAAATGGGCATTTATTATTAACCTCTTACTAATACCTTTTTAAGACTCATTTTGCACACTAATGCTCATTGCCTATTTATCTCTTTCTAACCACACACACACAGAAAAAAGGCACACTGTTTCAATCCATCCCAACTCCAGCACCATGCAATAGACATCATGGCTCCTTGGCTTACACAAGCATGGATTGTCCTTAGCATCTACAGAACATCATACTTGACCTGGCTGTGGAGCACACTGACTGTGGATGGCATACAGGTTAAGGTCTGTAATCCTCACCCAAATGTGTGTAGCTACTGAAACACTCATGGGAGTTTTAATCAAAAACCCTACACAGCTGGGACCATGGAAACTTCCACTGAAGCTGCAAAATATACACAGTAATGGTACAGTCTGGGACTCACAGGTAGGGCCTTTTTCGAATGCTAGAGCCTAGGGACCCCTCACTTTTATTGGTGTATATGGGGTTTACCACATCACACAGCAGCTCTAACCTTTACTACAGATGGCTCCATCCAAGCAACACGCAGCTGATAGAACGAACTGGGACTCAGGCCCTCCCTCAACTGACTCCACTTCCTTTGCTCTGTCACAATTACATGTGTGTTAAATGATACCTGGGAAAAGGCAGCATAACCACAAAGGAGAAGCCCTAAAAACTTCACTTTCATGTGCTAAGTACTCTGCCATATGTTAACCTCTTTCATCCTGCAACAGTCCCATGAGGGTGGACATTGGTGTTAGCACCACCATCCTGGGGAGGAAAGTGAGGTACTGAGAAGGATCACCATGGGATATCAAGCTGGTAAGGGAGACAGACAGGAGTCCAGCCTTGGGCTCTGCCCTCTGGCCATGCAGCAGATGAGTTAGTGACCAAGAGAATATGTTTCCAGTACTAGCAGAAAACAACAGGATCAAATGAGTTGTTCTTATTCTCTTCCTCCATTGCTATTTATATCCACGATTAAGTGCCCAAGTTATTTCTCTTACCCTCAGACACACTTTACAGTCATTACAAGAGGGTATTAGATGTCCACCAGCTGCAAGCTCTCCTGGGACTCTCATGGGACGAGACAGCATGTCCTTTGAGAATATCAAATTCCAGACAGCCATGGCTGCTCACATGGAGCCAAGGAAATGGATTTTATTTCTTTTTTATTTATTACTATCATTATTATTATTTTTGTAGTTTGCTATAGAACATATGTACTCACCAGAGAGAGGGAGAAGGATAGGGAGGAAGGAAGGGAGGGAGAGAGAGAGGGAGAGTGAGAGGGAGAGGGAGTGGGAGAGGGAGAGGGAAAGTGAGGAATCACTCCCAGGGCCAGGTGACAATTCCTTCTCCTCTATTTTCTTGTCAGATTTTGGGGACACACACACACACACACACACACACGCACACACGGGGTTTCTCAAGCTGCTGGGTTTGGGACTCAAACTGCACAGGCACCTTAATCTACATCATCTGCTGGCCCACAACCAAGTTCATTTTAAACCTTCCAAAATGAACTTGACTGAGCTGTGGACAGAAAACTAACCATAAAAGATCCAGGAATACTGCTTTTTTAGTATGGCTTTTCACTTATTTCATTAAAACAGTAAAAGTGAAATAATTATTGACTTTCCTGGCTCTTAATTCTCCTGAAAAATGAGAAACTAGTGCAAAAATATGCATGACTGCAGAGCGAAAATTAGTAACTTAAGAAACAGGAAGCTGGGAAGGAGTCCTTCCAGAAAGCAGAGGACAAACCAATGGCCTATGGGACATTTCCTGCTCTTTTCTCTTAAAAGAGCTATCTATCATTCAACAAAGACCCACTACCTTATCTAGCTGGGTACTGTTTATAAGGGGACCTCAAAAAGTTAGTAGAAAAGTAAAATTAGAGTGTGAGTTTACTTTGGTACACAAAAAATTAAAAAGGTTGCAATCCATGCATAGTTTCATTCATAATACTCACTTTCCATAGACTTCTTGGAGATCCCTTCATACAAGACATGATATGTTTTGGTTATAAATATGGGACCCTCTCTCTCTCTGAGTTATACTACCCATGCGTCAGTATAACTTTCTTGGTCACAATGTCTGGGTCCCACAAACCCCCCTAGGAGCCCACAAAATGTTTTAACTTCTTTTAGGGGCTGGACAGTGGTATGGCTTTAAAGTACAGTGTGATGTTCTGTTGGGGCATATCCACAGAAAAGAGTTTCTGCTTCATGTCCAGGGACCTCCGTGAGTATGCCAGGTACACGTGTACCCATGATGCAGACTGGTGGAGCTGGGAGTGGGTAAAGGTGTCAGGACCCTATTGGGGATGCTCGTGCTCTCTCTTTCTCTTTCATGGAATAAATAAATAAAAACTTTAAAAAAGGTATTTTAATTTAGGGGACCAGTAGTTGGTGCAGAGGTTAAGGCAGCTGGATCCCACATGACGGACTGAACAGTTAGTGGCTTGAGAAACATGCCAGATGGGGCCAGCAGGTTGCATAGTGGTTAAGGGTGCTAGGCTCCCACGTGGCTAACTGCAGTTTGAGTCCTGGACCTGGCAGTTTGCTTTCTCATTTTCCTTCTCTCACTCTGTCCCTCTCTGGTCAAATTAAAATAAATAAATAAAGTCAAATAAAATAATTCTTAAAAAAAATGAAGATGATTTGTTAGATTGTACCTCTTAGCTAAGACTGAAACTCCTGTCTCAAAGATAAATCATTTGATTGTGCCCCCTCAGCTAGAAATTAATCTGATCTGGGACCAGCAGTTAGCATAATGGCTATGTTGCTGAATTCTCATGTAGTCTACCACAGTTCGAGTCTCAGACCCCGTGGCTTAAACTCACTCTGGGCGCGTTTGTGTGCATGCCCAAGCTCCCTAGATGAGAATGGAGGAGAAAGGATTGTCATGGCCATCCCCCCTGGGGGGTGATTTCTCGCTTTCGGTCTCTCTTTCTTTCTCTGTCTCTCTGATGAGCTCATGATCCCTATAGCAAAAGCCTCTCTCAAAAAAATAAAAATTAATCTGATCTATGCTTTTCTATAGGTGGCTCTCAACCACATAGCATCCCCCTTCCCTAAAAAACATCTGTAAGTGAGGTGACGATTCGAAGATATTCTCACAACACATAATAGAGTCTCTTTTCCTCTCTCATCAACAATTTGCCTCTGTGCTTTCTGTTTTGTTGAGTGGCAAGGGGTCAACCTGCTTTGGGTCCTGGATAAAAAGGGTAAAGCCCCTCGTTAGACAACAACTTCTTATTCTTTCTCTCTCTGTTTCTCTGTCTGGCCAGCAGAAGTTCTCTACAGTAAACTAAAAAAAAGAAAGAAAGAAAGAAAAAAAATTTCTATTTCTTCTAAAATGAGAACCAAAAAAAGCACAAGTTTTCAAGCTTTAGGGTCAAAGATTGCATATGCTTTTGATAATGTGGTTACAAACTATAATTCTGGATATATTTTTAAAGAGGATGGGAGGGGGGCCTGTGAAGGCCCCACAGTTGCATTGGGATCTGAGGCAGCTGATGGTGTAGCCTCGCTCACCAGCCAGGCATGTTCCCAGGTCCATTCTGTGTACTAGGAAATGATCCCCAGCCTCACATGGCCTAAGACCTTTAACTGCTGTTCAGGAAGCTTAAAACCCGGCCTTCTGTAAAACATGGACCTGCCCACCCCCAAAAACAAACAAACAAACAAAACAGGGCTCTTCAAGAAAGAGAGCAGCCATCAATTTATTCTGTGTTGCCTTCTGAACTCCAACTCTGAAGGAGTTTTAACATAGATCTCTTCACAAAACAGAGCCTTTTATAAGTGTGTCAAGAACGAAACAGAAGAGTATTCATTAAAGGTCGCAGAAGCCGAGGGAGTCATTCTCTCTCGGCCTTGCGTCGCATCGCAAGCTTTTCTCGAGGCCAAGTACGTGGACTCCAAGACTGCCTCAGACCTGGGTCCACAGTCCTCCCTCCCATAGAAAATCTCATGTTTTCTTCTGAGTGACTTTTCAAACTTCCAAGTATGAAACACAGTAGCTTAAAATAAGCAGGCTAAAACATTAAAAATACCATGAGTCTATTAAATATTTGTATGTATCCCAATCTCTCCTCCTTTTGTGGGGGAAAACAAACAAACAAACAAACAGAAAAACTGCTAGATAATGCAGACTAAAGCCAATGTACTAAAATGCCTTTCTAAAATGCTTTTAAGAAGGTAAAAAATAAATTCAATCATACAATGCATAGTAAGTAAAATACACTGTAATGCTTTTTGCAAAGGGGAATTGTAGACGGTGTCATCTACTGTAATGATAACGGGTCTCTCTCTCTCTTCAAACATTCATCTTTTCATTTCAATGCATTTTCTGATCATTTGGGGTTCTAATTGCTAGGCCAATTAAATACCCACCACTTTTATTTATTATGTGACAACGTCTTTTTCCTTAGAGGCTTTACCATGGAACAACAGGTTACCTGTATTTTCATTCTTTTGTGTACATGTTTCAGTTTCTGATAAACGGTGCTATTTCTCATTTCGATGGTAAAGGATAGGCCAATGTAAAATAATGCTTCTCTATTTAAAAAGAAAACTGATGCAGTGCTTCGAAGTAGGCAGACTGAAGGTAGAAACCTCTTCTCGTCACTTCCCACTGTGTGACTTGTGGTAAAAAACTGAGTATCCCCAAGCCAGTTTCTTCCCATGTGTGGTGACACAGATGTTACATGGCTGTGAGTGTCTAGAATGCCACAGGACTACCACACCCAACAGCATTAATTACTGAGAAAAACAAAATCAGCTTCTAGCTCTGATATACCTTTGGCTACAGGGGTATGTGTAGAGAGACATATATTCACAATATGTATGTGCACATGTGCATATATATATATATATACACACACACACACACACACACAAAATACAAAAATTTTTTTCTTATCCACATATACAATTATACTTTATTTTACCATGAGGTATAAATAGGCAATTATATTAATTTTAAGCACCTATACACCTAATAAAATAACCATCAAGGGCATAGGACAAAAATATATACAATCAGATGGAAAGTTAGCTC